CTACGGGACTACTAGTCCCGTAGATTTTCTAGCTTTGTTTAGTGGCCGAATAATGATCACTAAACATACAGGACTAGTAGTCCTGTATGTTTCGAATAGCCAGTTTTTCAAAACCAACCTCTTTTTGGCCTGAATAATTAGCAAAACCGTCGGTTTTGCTAAAGTATTCTAAGGCTGTGTTTGGCAAAGGGGTAAATGGAGGGTTAAGGGGGTTTAACCCTTCATTAGTCTGCCAAACAGTAAAAAAAGCCAAAGTGTTTGTTAACCCGCACGTGATCATTTTAACCCGTTTAACCCCGTTATCCCAAGGGTTTACTATTACGCGTGAGAAGGCGGAACAAGGCTTATTCCGCCTTCTCCCGCGAGGGCAAGCAGAGGAATTAGGAAAAATATCTTCATCTGGATTGCTTGGGTCGGCAGTTCTCCCGCGAGGGCAAGCAGAGGAATTAGGAAAAATATCTTCATCTGGATTGCTTGGGTCGGCAGCGAAAATCAGGTGAAAATGTTTCCCCCCAATTTGTTTCCCTCAACTCCTTTCCCTCCTATATTTCCCTCTACTTTTTTCACCTGAGTTTCCCAACTATTAGTAGGTATATTAGGGGAACAATCAAGAACAAGAGAGAAATTTTTTACATAGTGGGATCTTGTGAGGGTTCGGCAGTGAAAATCAGCAGCGAAATCAGGTGAAAAACTTTCCCCCTAAATTGTTTCCCTCTACTCCTTTCCCTCCTAAATTTCCCTCTACTTTTTTCACCTGAGTGATTTTTCTCAACTATTAATAGGTATATTAGGGGAACAATCAAGAAAAAGAGAGAAATTTTCTTTTACATAGTGGGATTTTCTCAGCCAATTGCTAATCACAAATGACGGGAGGCAAAGGAGTTGAGGTACGTTCATTTTGATTTACTCTCAGTTTTTGAAAATTTAATAATCTAATTTTTACACTCTTTTTTAGGGGAACAATCAAGAAAAAGAGAGAAATTTTCTTTTACATAGTGGGATTTTCTCAGCCAATTGCTAATCACAAATGACGGGAGGCAAAGGAGTTGAGGTACGTTCATTTTGATTTACTCTCAGTTTTTGAAAATTTAATAATCTAATTTTTAGTGCAATTTTAGCATACTTTTTTAGTTCAAAGGTTGTCGTATAAAGCTAGGTTGATTGGGAAGAGACTCTCCAAAAACTAGTTCCTTTACCCAAATTAAATAAAAATTTCAATGTATAAATATGCCAGATCATTCTAATTCTTGGAAACCTGAAACTTTATTGTTAAATGTGGATTTTTTTAATTTTAATCAAGCATTCTCTGTAATAGTTTTTACTGTCAATTTGTTGAAATAATTTTGATGCCACATAATTTTGGTTCCAAAAACAATTATATGATAAACCATAGCTCCTTAGGAAAATATAGAGAACCAGTAAATATATATAGATAATGGATGTCAATGGAAGACTTTTTGATAGCAACCTGATTGAAAGTAAGGAGATAAACTATTTCATCTTAAAATTACAAACAGTGGAGCATGGAATAATTTATACTTACATGTTTGACTGTGGATCACAACAAGACTGAGAAATATTCAACTTCATGGCTTGGCAATACAACTACTTGGAAGAATGCATCATCTTCAGTGTATAGAAGTATGATCATATTTATCTTTGTTTTTGCTCCTGCAGATAAGGATAAAAGTTCAAGTATGATTCTTGATATCAGACTAAAAAAAGACCCAAGTATCTTTCTAAGTTTTAAGTTTCAAGTATGTTTAATCTTTGTTTTTCCAGTTACACATATGATTCGAGCTTGTTTAGCTCTCGATTGTTGGGTTTTTTGGTTCGAATTGGTGCTCGTTGTCGAGCTTTGGGGCTGTTTTTCCAGTTACGTACACATATGATTTGAGTTTGTTTAGCTCTCGTTTGTTGGGTTTTTTTTGTTCGAATTGGTGCTCGTTGTCAAACTTTTGATCACGTTTTTTTCATTATGTTAAATTTTTCTTTATGTCAAAAAGGTAGCACAACTTTTCAAAAAGTTTAGGAGAAACCGTTTATATCTTTTGCTTTTGCTTTTCAAAAAATTTAGGCAGGCGTTTGCTCTAGTTTTAAAAATATATATCCAACAGAAATTTTGAGGTATATTAACTGTTTTGATTGAATTATTTGGATGCTATGATTTGTTGTCATACTTTTCATAAAATATTGAGGTAGCGTAATTGTTCATTTGAGTATTTGTTTATTACTGGTAAGTACAACGCCGGATTGCTTAAAACGGTCTTTCTTGAACTTACTGAAATGTATACTGAAAAGCGACTTGTTTGTCTATTGATAGCCTTTGCGCAAAATAAAAACACTTTCTGGAATATGGACATGCCAGAATATGGACAAAAGAATTTCAGCATAGTAACTGTTTTTTCTTAATTTCTTTTCATTGGCTAAAAGCAGTTTACTATATATAATTTGCTTTGGTGGTTTAGTACTGTTTTTATCATGCATTCAGGAGCTCCAATTTGTTTGTCAGCTCACAACAGTTGCCTTTTGCCCACATTATCCCATTGGCTATCAACAGTTGCCTTTTGCCCACATTATCCCATTGGCTCCCCAGGTTTATGTATGGTAGAATTGAGGCCAGTCACCACCTACAGCAGTGATGCCCTTTTCCTCAACCAAATGACTCCTGTTTCGGGTATGTTAAGTTCAATTTTGTAGTGTTTGCTTTGGAAATTTTCTCGCTTTGTTTTGTTTTTACTCTCAGGCGGGATCTCTGCTGGAATTGGCTGTGGGTTTGGCTTTCTATATTGCTGGGAATGGAGTGTTTTGCTCATTGTTTTAGTGATAAAATTTGCTATGGGATTAGCTTGTTATATTGCTGGGAATGGAGAATTTTGCACATTGTAATATTGCTGGAATTTGTTGGGCATTTGGGATGTGCTTATTTTATGTGATCATAGGATGCCCAGGAAGTTGAGAGGAAATTTTATGAGATGGCTATATGACACTACAAGCCTTTTGATGGGATTGTTTGGTATATGTGATTTTGGATGTCTAATAAATCTGTGTATCGAAACTGAGAATGACATGGATAAGTGGCAATCCAGAAAAATCAACATATTTTTTGGGACTCTATTTGGTGCATGCGGACAGAGCACAATGCATAAGATACAGCTCAATGTCTCTCCTTGTTCTCCCGACTCATTCTATCTTTTCTTTTTATCTGTATTCTGTTTTTGCATACACTCACAGGTCTAGATTAATTTCTGATTTGACCTATGTATAAAGAATTTCAAATATTAAGTTTTTTCATTATCTGAAAAGTATCAGATCAGAGTCTGAACAGAAAAAATTTCATCCAAAACTCTTCCTCAAAGGGTGCTAGTTTAACTAAATGATATGATTACTCTTATTATAGCCATGCGTTTCATAAAAACATCAACAATTTTATCGTTTGTTTACTTTCTGAAGTTTTACTGACTGTGACATGCAATGCTGAGGGATTATTTTTTTTAATTTTATTTTGGAGGTCCTTTCAGATTGGAAAATAATGGATCTTTGAATATTGTTGTATTATAAATCTTCAATAAGGGCGAAAGTGGTATTTTTTAAAAAAATCATGAGATTAATCTCCTTAACCCCTCTTCATTTGCCAAACACAAAAGACTTAACCTCTTGTCTTAACTATCGTATCCAAACGGGTTTAGAATTTTTTTAACCCTTCATGATGGATTAACTAAGTTAACCCTTCTCTTTAATCCCTTCTCCTTAACCCTTTGCCAAACGGGGCCTAAAAGTATTAATTAATTACTAAAAACAAAAACCCTTTACATACTAGGGTTCAATTAATAAATATACAATGGAACTTTAAATTTCCTAACTCAAGTTGATATAGAAGTATTAATTAATTACTAAAAACGTTCGCGATAATTGTAATATCATAATGAAAACTTTAAAAGTCAGTTAATAAAAGCAACAGCCTTCCATCTAGCTAGATAATTACACTTATTTTTTTATTTAAAAAAATCTAGAACTTGATTTCTTTTTTTAAATGCCATTGATTCACCTTCACTCAAAATTACCATCTTTCTTAAACAAAAATCTACAAATAGTAAACACAGAAACATCTCATTAAAGAAAACACTAATCTCCAGCCTCATCGCTATAACAAAATCACCCTAAATAAGCATTAAACACAACTTTTTCCCTATTAATTACTTATCATCATAAACATACCCTCATTAACTGCACAAATAATAACAAAATTACCCTAGGCCAAGCATTAAACACAACTAATACCCCCTATAAATAAAACCCTATAACATTCTCACCTCTCTAATCTTTCTCCTATGACATCTAATGCAATCCTCAAACTCTCTCTCCTCCTCCTCTTCCTCTTCTCCTC